CGGTGCGGATGGTGCAGCGGCACCTGAAGCCGGTTATCTAGCTCACGCTTCAAAAGTTTGGTCTTGGGCGACCCTTGATCGGGTCAGCTAGGAGGTCTCTCATTTTTGTGTATAGGAGAAGAAAACAATTACTTGAACATTGATGGTTCTCAAAAGTGGAAAGCGGTTCGACTGCCCATAAACCTTGGCATTGTGTGAGGTCTTGTGTTTGATGTGATATTGTAGCCACAACCAAGGCGTTAGAACAATTTGATTCAGTCAATCTAGCAGTGCTCTCAAACAACCTACCGTATGCGTCAAATCGGTGACGAAGGCGACTAGACGAAGCGTTTTTCAAATAAAATCAATTTACCCCGGTTGTGGCTACAATATCACAACAAACACAAGACCTCACACAATGCCAGGGTTTATGGGCAATCGAACTGCTTTCCACTTTTGAGAATCATCAAGTAATTGTTTTCTTCTCCTATACACAAAAATGAGAGACCTCCTAGCTGACCCGATCAAGGGTCGCCCAAGACCAAACTTTTGAAGCGTGAGCTAGATAACCGGCTTCAGGTGCCGCTGCACCATCCCCACCGGTAATATCAAAGCGGCTCCCCGAGTTCTGAAGCTGAGCAGATTCATATCACCCGTCACAGTCCTTCCCTTTCAGAGCTCGTAGAATTGCGTGCATTCTGCCATAGGGGTAATGCACGTTTTCCTAGCACATGTTGGCTTTGAGGATGGCCTGTCTTGTGTCTCTAGTTACTGGTAACGGTGGCAGAGTACTGTACCCTGTCATCATCCCCAGTAAATGAAGGAGGAGCGTTTGGTGCGCTGATGGAGAGAAAGAGCGCCTTCATGCTCTTGCAGTCCACTCTAAATTAAGTCAATGGGCATCCATAAGCCGGCTTTTTGGACCATTTCGACTGACTTTAGTTCGTAAACGGCTGCTGTGGGAGACCACCAATGCTAGTTGAAAGCCAGCTTCATCAGACGATATGTAGCAAACTAATCTCCAACAGAATGCAGGCCTTTTCTGACAGAGCTGTCCTATGCGACCCCCTCATAGGGCTCTCCTGTGAGGTGGGTCGCATTTGGTTCCTCTGCGGTACATACCCCCCTCCTCCCAGTTGGGAAAACTTAGGGGAACTACACGTAGGATTTGAGATGGGGTCGTATCAGAGGTGAACTTTCTGGAGGGGAGGAGGTGTGGCAGAGGGGTTCACATCGCAGGACTTTCCCTCAAACTCAGAAAGTGCCCTGGTCCCTGGCTCCGCAGATTCAGCGATATGCTGCACCTTGACGGTATAAGTAGCTATAAACTGTAGTTTGAACAACAGCCTCTTCCTTCTGAACTTTTCCAGAGGCGGAGACGGGATTTCGAAAATTGGGGCTAGATAATAAGGAAGGGATGGCACGACGTCGCTCATGTCGTGTTTAGATGGCATAAATCACAAGGACATACGAGAACTACGTCACGATCAAGCTCAGTTCTTGGTGGCTTATATGGAGTTTTCTCCACGCTGTATAAAAAACCCTTCATATCCCGCCCAGTGTTAAAATTCAATGTAAAAAAAACTGTGCCGAGTTTGCACGTCAGCAAATGCCAGAAATTTATTCACCAATCTAATATGTTCACATCACGTCATGGTCCTTTGCCAAAGTCATCAGAGCTGCTGCTGGAGGTGGGCCGGAGTTCCCACGGTCTTCGAAGGGCGGAGCATGATCGAGGGCCTGACGATGAAGTGACAACGGCACCGCCCATCGTCATCGTGCCATTCGAAATGAGTCCCAGGTACACCTACGCTGTAGTCTTCATCGCCAGCTTATTGGTGTTACAGTATGTCGCCGCTCAGAGGTATGTACCATTCCGTTACAGTAATCCATCACAGCTGATTTGTTTGTTCGACCAACTTGTTAGCACTTGTTATCAAGGTGTGAGACTACACTAGTTAACTC